CGTGGCAATAGAAAAGTAAGACGATGTCTAAAGATGCAATAATGGAATTCATATCTTGGAGTTAACCAACAGCTGTCTCAATAGGAGTGAAGTCATGCCTGGTGCCTGAAACCTAGCCAACTACCCAGGTCTAGTGACATCATGGATCTTAGAGGAGACGCTACCACTGTCATTTTACTGGAACTGCATTCTAAAACTTTTTATACCCACAGATAAGTGTAGGTCTCACCCCACACCCTAGAAACCTCTCTTTGCAGCAAGCAGCAGCCATTACAGAAAAACACAACCGGTCAAACTGCAAAGATCAACTGATCATGGACATATCTACAATGGACATATCTACAATATATCTCGGCTTAAAGAAGGGAGCAGGAAGATTTTAAGAGACAGGGGCTCAGGAAGTCTACTGTGAAATTGTGTCTCTTAGAAATAACAAGGAAGCTACACCCATGATACCTCAACAATATGGCTTCCTAAACAAGACTTGAACAGTGACAATATCAATAGACATGCTAACACAGAAGGAAATCACACAGGGTCCAACTCCTAAACAAAGAACTACAGGCAACTCATGGCCACTGAGGGAGGAATAACTTAGCTTCTCTTGGGGATGAGCCCTCTGTTTGGTTATCCAACAACCAAGCAGTCAACTCTGAAATGATACAAACCCAAGACAGTCTAGACAGATTCAGCAGGCTGTACGCAAATGTGTGCATTTACACATGGTATAATAATAATCGAAGAAACAGAAGCCATCGTTTGGGGAGGAGAGAGGGAGTGAGGGAGAGAGGATTGGAAGGACAGGGAAGAGTGAAGTAGTTTTAAATGTTTAATTAAAAAATATCTAATTAAAAAATAATGTTAAAAGATCAAACAAAATAAGAGAGAAAACGCATAAAGTTGGGAGAGATCAACTGGGGAGACAGGTAAGGGTTGGAAGGAATAAAATGAGGGAGTGGGTCTGATCTAATCACAGCAGGTGCACGTGCGAATATTAAATATTCTGTTAAAAGGAGGAGAGAAATGAGGGGGGGAAGAGCAGGGTACAGTGAGAGTCACAGCTAGGGTAACCCGTTGTTAGCGGCAGCAAAAAGTAGAATCTGGGACGGGAAAGACAGCTCAGTGGCTACAGCGCTCTCTGCAGAACTGTGGGGACCTGAGATCAAACACTTAGAGGCCATGTAAAATTCCACCTCAGAGGGCAGACAGAGCCACACAGTGAGACCATCCATATCCATACGGATTAGCTCTGGGTTTGATTGAGATCCCCTGCCTCAGGGAATATGACAGAAGAGTAATGGAGGGTGGTTCCCAACATCAACCTTGGACCTCCTCATACCCACAGATGTGCACACCCCCACACACACCACACATGCACGTACGCACACATACACTCACGCATGTACACACACATGTGCACACACATACACACACACGCACATACATGTGTACACACACATGCAAACATATGCATGCACACACACACACATACACACACACAAACATGCATGCACACACACCATATGCACACATTATACATACATGACAAGGAAAGAACCAAAATTTTTGCACTGCACTTCCTTTGGTATGAAAAGAAGCCAATTGTATAATTTAATAAATGTACTACTTGCAAATATAATACCCCAAACATCCCATTTGTCAGCCATTATGTTCATGCTTTTTGTCATTTTTATGTGTGACCAAAAAAAAAAAAAAAACCTCCTGAAATAATTCTTCAATCCAAAAGATCAATTCCACAGTCGATGCTTTTAAATCACAGACAGTGAATGACAGTATGAGGCTAAGGAGCGGGCTAAGAGCCAATGCCCTTGCTTGAAAAGAGCATTTCTTTCCCTGACTGATAACACAGCCAATAAACCGTGTTAGATTGATGAGTGTGAGGAACAGATGTCCCCTTTACAGTAAAAGACGGGGCACCGTGGCCAGCTCCTCGTCTCCAGGAGAAGTCTTTCCCTTTACTGGCTTGTTTGTTGCTTTTATTGTCGTTGTTGGGGGGGTTGTTTAGTTGGTTTGATTTTTTTGCTTGTTTTTTTTAGTTCTTTGAGAATTTTATATAATAATTTTTTTATCATATTCTTCCCTCTCCCACAATTCCTCCAGGATACACACACACACACACACACACACACACACACACACACACACGCCTTCATGTCCTTTTTTTATTTTTTCAACTCATTAAGTACAATTTGTGCCGCTCCCATACACTTGGGTGTGAGGCCATCCACTGGAGCATGAATAACTTAGCAGGGACCACACCCTCACAGAAAAATGATTCTCCTCCTCCCAACAGCTATCGGTGGGCGACCAACGGCCTCTCAGCTTGGAGGGTGACCTAGTGGCCACCTGCCCTCTGCACGCTGGGATTTGTCTGGCTTAAGCTTCATGGGTCAACAGCACCGGAGCCTGGGATGGAAGCTTCTCTCCCCCGGCACATGTCTACGGCACATGTCTCTAAAATGGCTCTGGCGGGGGCACAGACACAGGTCATCCCCTCGTGATGATGCTCAGACTCACACAGGCTTTGTTCCCTCTGCACACGAGACTCAAGGGTGTGTCTCCTGTCTCAAGCTTCCAGACTTGCTCATTCCAGAAGCTCCCAAGACACCGCCTGGGGTCTCTCAGGTCCCTGTCTCTCTATGTGTCCTCATCTACTGGACTCTCTCTGCATTTCGACTTTCTGAGGGTAATTGCCACACAACCCCCTTCTGTTTCTGCTCCAATGTTACAGAACACCTGAGAAGTTAAGAGCGTTAAGAGAGGGAGGGTTTTTTTGTTTTTTTGTTTTTCCTGGCTCACAGTTTGAAGAGGCACAGCCTGTCATGGAGAAGACCTGTGGGTAGGAACACGATGTGGAGACTTCTCACATCTCCATGGACAGGACGTGGAGCCAGGTCATAAACATCAGTGTTCACGCCTAACAACCCACTTCCTCCAAGAAGGTTGCATTCAGTGACACGCCGACTGTGAAGCCAGTGCTCTACGGGGACATTCGCCGTGTGTGGCTGCTTCCCCCAAACTGGAGCACTCCCTCCTAGAGATAGGAGGGAAACTCATAGGGCAAAGGAAATAAATGAAACACATCAGGCTCGGGAAGCTTCTGACACTTTGTAAAACCCATAAGTCCCCTCATCCGGGTTATAGATGCAATAAGCAATTGCTGAGGACAAAAGGCTCCTGTCTGCCTGGCTGCCAGGAAATTGTAAGGGAGCTCCAGGGACCGAGCTTGCCCGAGCTGCCCACGCTGGGTAGGTTTTTCAATGATGGGGTTGTTTCTGAGTCACACATACCCCTGTGAGTAACTCGGTAACTCACTGGTTCACTAAACTAGATTTGGATAGAATTATTCCTTTGGTCTATCATCAGTGCCTTTTCCACAGTAAAGAGGCATGTGTTCACATCCCTAGTAAAAGCTACACAAAATCTTCCCTAGAGGTCCTAGTCGTTGGAGCTGTCAGAATAACCGTCCAGACCATCATCGCTGCGCGTTTCTGCTGCAGTGACTAAGTCTTTACTGCGCTAGGACTCAGGCTGCACTGAAGGTGAAGGGCTCTGATGGCTTTTGTGCTGTGTTAAAGGCATTGAGATTGGTAGCGTAGCAGCAATTCATCCCTAGAGCTTTTCTGGAAAGCCCCCATTTGAAATTACTGATCAGAGAGTCCCTCTTCGTGCCTGAACTTGGACATCTGGTTTTTCTTTTCCATCCTGTCCTGTACTACAGTGGCCATTCCTGAGCTCTGTGCAGAGACCTTCTCCAGCCCTGCTTCCCCCAGTCACCAGCATCAGCTCAGTGTCTCACTCAACATGACTCCTGGGCAGGGCATCCACATCCCGTGTCACACTCCAGGGCAGTGTATCCACATCCCCTGTGTCACACTCCCAGGCAGGGCAGGGCAGGGCATCCACATCCCCTGTGTCACACTCCAGGGCAGGGCAGGGCATCACATCCCCTGTGTCACACTCCAGGGCAGGGCAGGGCATCACATCCCCTGTGTCACACTCCAGGGCAGCGTATCCACATCCCCTGTGTCACACTCCAGGGCAGGGCAGGGCATCCACATCCCCTGTATCATACTCCAGGGCAGGGCAGGGCATCACATCCCCTGTGTCACACTCCAGGGCAGCGTATCCACATCCCCTGTGTCACACTCCAGGGCAGCGTATCCACATCCCCTGTGTCACACTTCAGGGCAGCGTATCCACATCCCCTGTGTCACACTCCAGGGCAGGGCAGGGCATCACATCCCCTGTGTCACGCATCTTCTTCCACAATGAAGCCATTAGCTAATGGATGACTGCCACAAACACATATTTGCCCTCTTATCTCCGTGTGTGACAACTCCAAAGGATCCCTCGAGCTCTGCCCCTCCATGTGCTGAGCTGAGGTCTCAACTCTAACTATACTGCACATCAGCTCATCTACCCAATCCTCCTTTGCTCACATCCCCACAGGGGCATGTCCAGCATGCACACATCCTTATCAGTCCTAGAAACAACGTTCCATTACAAATCACCATTACAAAAAAAAAATGTATGGCTATTATATGGATATTACTGCAAGTCTGATGATTCAGATGGGCAGAAGCCTTGTCAAAGCAGGCAGACACTGTAGCTGCCTGTAACCCCAGCACTCCTGGAAGCAGACACAAGGGGCTCCCCAGGGCAATCCCTAGAGTAGCTGGGATGTGTGCACTCTGGGTTCTTCAGGAAATGCTACCTCAATTAATAAAGTAGGCAGCAATCAAAACAGATACTTGACTGAAGTCAACTCCAGACCTATACATGCGCACACACACACACACACACACACACACACACACACACACACACATTCATGCTCACCAGTACCTGTGTGCCCATAAACATGTGAACAGTACTACACACACACGCGCACACACACACACACACACACACGGTTTTTTATCTCACCCCTAACTAATAACAAAAACATCATCGCATCCCTCAAAAAAAAATCTTACTTCCATCTTGAAATTTGCTTAATCTTTCAAAGTACGATGACATGGGGACCTGGACGATGTCTAGGATAGCCAGCAGCGTCCTGGTCAGCCGCAGCAGCTCACTGAAGCTGTAGAATCCAAAGTATATCAGGTTCCGAGCCAGGTGGACCACCTTTGTCAGGAAGAGCAGAGGACAGAGCAGCATTGAAAAACGGAACAAACATTTGCAACCTTTATGTCTAAAGTGGTTCCAGTATTTCGAAGTCCCTAATTCTTTAACACCTAGGGTTTAAAATCCCTGTAAAGGCTACTGCTCAGATTGTGACTGATCCAAATATATGGTCAATTCATGAGAGGCCTCAGGGTGATTTAGGGAGTTTATGTTACAATATCTACTACTTATTTAGATGTAAGTCAGGAAGACACCACTTAATCAGTGGTTAAATTACTTTAATAAATGTGAGCCATAAATGGGCCCAGAATTTTATGTCCCCTGTCCTGGCCTGTGGCCTTCTTGGTACTACAGAAAATAATAAGGGTGAGATGCAGCTCCAAGACGTGACTCCAGTGTCAGCTGTCATGTGTGAGCAGAAATGCTGTGCCATACCCAAGGTTAGCCAAGGTTAGACTATGGGACAGTGCATGTAAGTGCTCTCCCTCGCGCTCTCTTATGCTCTCCCCCTCTCCGCTTCCCCCTCTCCCCCTCCCCCTCTCCCTCTCCCCCCTCTCTCTCCCCTCCTGACTCTCCGCCTCTCTCCTTCACTTGCTCTCACTCTGTGGGAAGCCAGGACCCTCGGCCCACAGAGACGCCACGTGGCAAACGGCTGAGCTGTGTGGACAAGCCAGCACGGAAGAAGGGCCACCAACACCCACCAGAGCGAGGCGGAAGTGGCAAGCATTTCCAGTGGTGACTGAACAGACACCACCACACCGTACCCAGGCCTGTGACTCACAGAAATGAAGTTTCCCTTGGGCTGCCACACTGGGGGCGATGTGTCTCATGACAGTGGGTAACTAATACGCCAGGTATGGTGTGACGGAGTCCTCTCTCTATTATATTATCTTCAAATTTCAATTCAGGTCAGTGAGGCCACCCCGTCACTTTTGAGAAGATGGGGGAGGGGACTTCTGTATATGTGCTTCTCTAATTGGTTGACGAACAAAACACTGATTAGCCTATAGAGGCAGGAAGACAGGCGGGGGAATGCTGGGAAGAGAGGCAGAGAGGCCATGAGGCCGAAGGAGTAACGTGCCAGATTCCAGGCGAGCCACAGCCTCACGGCAATGCACAGATTAATAGAAGTGGGTTAATAATTAAGACAGAGCTCGCCAGTGAGAAGCCCTAGCCATTGGCCAACAGTCTCAGAATTAACATATGTCTTTGTGTGTTTATTTGGGGCTGAAAAGTGGTGTGTGACATGGCGGGACAAGGACCCCTAAATATAACGTATCCCAAACTGTCACTGCTTATCGCGTATAACAAAATTTACATGTAAGAACGGAAAATAAAACAAGGGAAGCTATAATAAATCGACAATTGAGATAGAACACTTTTTCATTATCGAGGCATAATAAAAATTAAAATAAAATGGGCTTTTATTTGTAATTCTAGTGACCATTAGTATAATAGGGGAAAGGCATTACTAGTCACTGAGTACATAGGTCACACTAACTCACTTAGAAAAGGTGGGTTTTTTTTTTTTTTCAAATTTGTACGGGGGGGGGGCTTGTTATGTAACCTGAAGCTTTTTCTTTTTTCTCTTCTGATTCAAACAGTAACACATCACTTGACTGTGGTCTAATCAACACGTGAACCGCATTTCTACGCATCAGGTATGGTTTCAAAAGTAAGTTAGTGAATTAGAGTTTAAAATTCCAAATCTATGTTTTTGTCATCCAGACAGAATTGTATCTGACTGAACCTAACAGTTCAACTGCCCAGATACCGTAGGTGTTAGAGGAGAGGGGATCTGTGGCGCTAGTGCATCTGATCTCTGACAAGGGCGCTCAATCGTGCAGTGCCAGGAGTGACTGTTTTAAAAGGCCTCGGGCGGGGCTGGAGAGACGGACGGCTCCGTGTCTGACGGCACCTGCTGCTGGGCCAGAGGACCTGGGTTCGGTTCTCAACACCCACGCGGCTCTCCATCATCTGGTTGCCGGGAATCTGATGCCCTCTTCTGACCACTGTGGATGCCAGGCACAAGGGAAATACATTTAAATTTTTCAAATACCTCAAATGTCAGTTTATTTTTCTCTTTGTCCCCAAAAGGAAATGGCTGGTTTACAACTTCTTTCAAATATTCTTCAACAAATTCCATTGTGAGGGCAAATTTCCTCTTCATATCGTTTCTGGAAGAGTCTGTGGTGGAGTCATACCTGGGCAGAGACACAAGAGTAAGTCAGGTGGATGAGAAACATTGTGAGGATGCTCTGTGTTCTGACCCCCAGAGTGCACTGCCCTGCGCACAGTGGGGATGCTCTCTGTTCTGACTCCCAGAGTGCACTGCCCTGCGCACATCAGTCGACCTCTTGGAGTCACATCCCATCTGACGGGGCCACTGGAAACAGAGAGGGCCGTGCAAGGTGGAGTGTGCAATCACTCCACGCTCAGCTGGGAGAGTTAGGGTTTAGTCCACATGTCCGGGAACATGTTTCCTGCGGGAGAGCTGTCATTTTTGCCCTCAGGAACCTTACTGACTCTTCCCGGGTGAGCAGTGTGAACGGAAAGGCACAAATCCCTTCCCGCCATCGTCACTGTCAACTTGGCAGGATCTAGAATCTTCTAGAAAACACACCTCTGAGCACACCTGTGAGGATGTTTCCAGAACCAATTAACGGAAGGGGGGAGGCCCACTCTGAGTGTGGAGAGCACCGTTCCCTGGGATGGAGACCCTTACTGGATAAAGAGGGAAGAACCAGAACTGAAAGCTCTCTGCCCCTGAGAAAAGATTCAGGGTGACGCCGCCTCCAGGTCCTGGCACCAAGGGTTCCCTACCATGAGGACTGGCCCCTCAAACTGCGAACCACAAGACAGCCTTCCCTCCATGAGCTGTTGCTCGTCAGCTACGAGAAAAGTAATGAATACAATGTACTGGATAGTTTTATGTCAACTTGGCACAAGCTAGAGTCACTGGAGAGGAGGGAGCCTCGATTGAGAAAATAAATACCTCCCTAAGACCCATCCGTAGGCAAGACTGTAGGGCGCTTTCTTTATTAGTGACAGATGGAGTGAGGGGCAGGCCATTGTGGGTGCTGCCAACCCTGGGTGCCCAGGCCCTGGGTTCTATAAACTAGCCATGGGGAGCGAGCCTCCACGGCCTCTTTATCAGCTCCTGCCTCCAGGATCCTGCTCTGCTTGAGTTTCTGTCCTGTCCTGACGTCCTGCAATGGTACAGATGATGTGAAAACAAAAGCCAAACAAACCCTTTCCTCCCCAAGTTACTGTGGTCATGGTGTTTCATCGCATCAACAGTAACCCTAACTGGGGCTGGAGAGGTGGCTCAGCGGATAAGAGCACTGACTGTTCATCCAGGGGACCCGGGTTCAATTCCCAGCACCCACATGGTAGCTCACAACTGTCTGTAACTCCAGTTCCAAGGGACCCAACACTACCACACTGACATTCATGCAGTCAAAATGCCAAATGCCAATGCACATAAAATAAAATAAATAAATTACTTTTTAAAAAAATGGTAGTTCTAGGTAAAGCATAGAGTCTGCAAACATACTCATGAATCGTGATCTTTGTGGGGATTTCGGTCCAGAGCCGGGCATAGCGAACGGGCACCACAGACTCCTGGGGGTCCCGGTCAACGTGCATGTGCAGCATGAGCCGGCAGAAAGAAGCTCGGAGGTCAAAGGGCAGGCTCTCGTCAGACACACAGCGCAGGATCAGGTCCACCGACAACTGTGTCGAAATCTGGTTGATGGCCAGATACTGGCGGTCCAAGCACATCCTGGCGAAGAGGTTTAGCTGGTACCTAAAGCACAAGACATTTCACATTACCCCTCTGCCTCCATCAAGGCCCTCATCAACAACAAAGCACAAATGGCCAGCTGCCCGGCGTGCAGATGTGCTTATGAGCTTGCAACACTGAGCCAAACTCTTTCGGCGGTGAGCAAAGGGCAGGCAGCACAGGTCTAACACCGTCCCTGCCGCTACAGCGCCTCTCACGGCCAGGATTTCAGCCCTCCGGCTGGGTTACTGATCCCAACGTACTGACCCCTGGGAACCTCCTCTCCTGCTTTTGCCAATAAACACAGGTGACCTTCCAGAACTACAGACAGCTGCCCCTCTCAAGCCCCAAAGAGCACAATGCTCACAAGGTCCCAACTCAACCCTCAGCCACCCGCCCCCACCCCACCCCGCCCTGCAGCCACATCTGTCCCACCCCAGTCCCTCCTCCCCCTCAGTCCACAGTCAAGGTCCTGTTGCTTCTCGTCCACCCCTACATCCCCACGGCAACAGGAAGAAACGCCTTACTGGCAAGTGCCAAACTCATCAGAGAATGCAAGCGGAAAACACATATGTAAGCTTTCACTTTGAGATCTAGGTGGTCCTGACCATCTCAGCCCCTCTCTGTCTGAGTTTTCAAATGCCCTCTTCTGGATCTCTAGTCCTCGGAGGGCTGAGAGAGTCGGCTCCCTGTGGATGATCGACGTGGAGCGTGCTTGTCCCCACTACCTGTAATAGGTCAGAACTTCTAGGTCAGCCTTGGTGCCTTCCTTGGCTTCCTGGGCGAGGTGCCTGATGGCCTTGCCATGAGGCTCCTTGTTGCTGTCAATCCAGTAAAGCCACACTTCCTCATCCTCAATGTCATCAGGGAGGATGGAACTCTCCATGGGGTTTTCCACTTGCATGGACACCAGCCTTGAAACCAAAGACACACGAGGTCTATTAAGAAGCACGCATGTATGGAGGGATGTTCCTACAGACGCCTCCGTGGGGCAGCTTACTTTGTCTGAATGAGGATGTCCGCGTTACCAGGACTCAGCATGAACTTGCAGATGAGTTCCTGAGTGACGGGGATAGCAGTGCTGTTGGACACACAGAGATCAGACAAATAGTCCAGAAACCTAGGAAGGGGAAAGTGAACATGAAGAAAGGGCATTTTATTTCTGTATTTTAACAGATCATCTTTTAGTGATTCTTCAACAATTTCCCTTTTGCAAACAAAGCATCTTGAGTGTAGCCACTCATCAATTTAAATGTTTTTGTTTTTGTTTTTTTAATTTTTAAAGTGTGTGCATGTCCGGGCATGGGTTCTGGCCAGCCATGCTATGCCTGTAGGTGACAGGTCAACTTTCAGCAGTCAATTCTGTCCTTGCATCTTGAAGCAAGGTCTCCTGCAGCTGTACCGTGTCCATCTGGCCCACACATCTGTCTGACTGTCCTGCCTCCACCTCCCACCTCCCGGTGGGAATCACAGATGTGAGCCGTGTACCCAGCTCTTCTACCAGAGATCTGGGGACTGAACTTGGGCCATCAGGGTCCACTGGAAAGGCTTCCGCATACTACACCATCTCACCAGACCGACAACGCATTTTAATAAAAGTCATCACGACAAAAGTGTCATATGGAATTGAATAAAAGAAGCTTGTTTTAACGTGGTTTCAATGCAGGGTTTTCCTGCGTGCCATTCATGTACGGCATCATCAAAAGCAAATTAGCCTTGTTTAGAATGAGCATGTTTGCTTCTATTTTTTAGGTGATGTTCATCTATTAGCACAGTGACTCGTGTTTAGAAAATCATTCATCTTCCCTCAAGTGTCTACAAAACCAAGTATCAATCGAAAAGCAAAACAATGTGAGTTTATACGCAGGGTGGGGAGCACTCTCCAGTGAGTATACAAGGGTGGGGAGCACTCTCCAGCGAGTATACAAGGGTGGGGAGCACTCTCCAGTGAGTATACACAGGATGGGGAGCACTCTCCAGTGAGTATATGCAGGGTGGGGAGCACTCTCCAGTGAGAACGCACAGTGGGTGCTCTAGGCTGCTCTGTGTTCACCCTTCCCACTCAAGACATCATGGAGTGAAAAGAGGTCACACAACCCCTCGGGCCCAGCACCCCTTCCTAGCCAGGGGTGCTCAGCAGCATGTTGCTTGCCTTTTATTTTCTCCTTCCTAAAGTGAGGGCAGCCCCCAAATGTGTGGTTACATGGAAGGCTGAGGCAGGAGGATGGCCTCAAAGGGAAGGTCAACCTGGGCTACATAGTGAGTCCCAGGCCAGCTTGGCCTACAAGTGTGAGAGGAAAAATAAAGGAAAACAAAAGTTAAGGCCCTAGGTTCAACCCCAGCACCACAACAGAAATAGTTAATAAGTCGTTCACATAATCGTAGTAAGATCTAGATAGCCATGCATAACACTTAGCTCACAGGAATGCACTGTATGTTATTTAAATGAAGTGCCTCACCAGGAGTGCCCAACCTCCAGTCACCACAACACGGCGCCGTGGCCCAGAAACGTGTCAGTCATCATCCATAGCTCTGCTAGGACACGTGGCCCACATCTGCAATCTGGGCACCTGGCTGAGTCTATGTGAACCTAGCTCACTGTCCTAACCGGATTCCTAGCCTGGCAACCCTCCTGTCTCCGCCTCCCGAGCAGCTGGGATTACAGAAGGAAACCCGTACAGAAGTAAATGAGGACATTTAAAAGTCAGTCTAGGGCTGGGGTGTAGTTCAGCAGCCAATCACCTTCCTAGCCTGTGTGAGCCTTGGGCGAGCCCCCCAGCACCGAGGAGAAACACCGCTCTGACCACCTGCACAGCCGACCTGCTTTACACACACCGCTATCGGGGGACAAACGCTTCCTCTGCCCATCAAGACTCAGGGTTACAATAGATGCTCGACAAAAACAAAAACAAAAAATGAACGCTTCCATCCCTGCCAGAGCAGAGCTTGGGTGGAGCCCCCCCCCCCCCCGTCCAACCCCCACAACAGACCTCGGCTCCCGGTTCCTCCTGAGCAGGTTGACGAAGGTCTCTATTTCTTTTGCCGTAATGTGCTTCTCCAGTAGTTTGCGGTTGTTGTGTAACAAGGCGGTGATCGTATCTTCTGCCAAAATATCATAGCCAATCTGGGACTGCATAACGCAGAAGTTCTTAGCGATGTACTCCTGTAAGAGGAGGAGACATCAGCTCCTGCAGCCTGGAAGAGGCAGATCCCTGGGGGTCAGCGGCTAGGATCACCTGAGCCACAGGAAAACCCAGTGGAAGCTTGTCAGAAGAAAAGCAAGCAAATAACACCGTGCCCACAGTAAAGAGAACTTCAGGAGGAAAGGAAAGGTATCCACAGCCACGTAACTCAAACTGTGACCGAGGGTTGGGATGGAACGCTGTGGGAGATCGCTTACCTGGCATGTGCAAGGTGTGAGGTTCCATCCTCAGAGCTGCAAATAACTAACAACTAACTAATCAGTCAATTAATCAATTAATTAATTAAAAGCTATGTCACTACTAATCATTATTTTCTAAATGGGTACTGGCACTCTTGTAAGTGAGAAAAGCAAATCTAAATGTAGGTTTTACACTATGGTAACTTAGAATTTCACCAGCCTGCAAGGGGCCCTCTACTCTCACCAGAAGTTATAACTACCAACTCCAAGTAATAATAACATTTTTTTAAAAGTACGTGACTGCCTGATGCCTCACCCCTGGGACCTGAGATGGGTGCAGCCGCTTGAATGTCCTACATGGACTCTGGTTGTTTGTTTGTTTGTCTGTTTTCCTCAGAATGGCCAACAAGATCTTCTCTGATAAGTAATATTAAAAAAAAAAAAAAAAAAAAAAACCTCAGCACACTTATCAATAAGAAGCAATCAAATCGGATCACACGGTAGCTCGAGTTATTAATTAGACCCAGCCGTGCAATAGCTGTTTAATGATGGCTTCAGCAGTTCTGGGTGCTGTGGGAGGCTAGGAATGTGGCTGTCCACGAGAAAGGCCTCCATGGAGACCACGCTGCGAATCAGAGAGCAGATGAGAAGGAAAGGAGGCAGGATGGGCTTCTACGCGAGTATGAGTGAAAGGGAGACAAGAGGCAACTGCGGGCGAGAGAGGCTGACAAGACAGGGACACGTCAGGGCAGCAATCTCAGGAGCACCACGGGAGGCATGCCAAGCGGTGGGCAGAGTCCTGCGATACAGAGAAAACTGCATGCGCACACACGCGCACACACACACACACAGACACACACGCATGCATGCACATGGTACACACACACACACATGCACACACATGCACACACGCACACGGTACACACACACACATGCACACACACGCACACACACGCGCACACACACACGCGCACACACGCACGATACACACGCATGGGAGAAACACCACATATATGAAATAAGTAATTTCTAATTGTGTAAAAGAGAGCCAGCGTGGTTAGGTGACGATTTCTTTGTTTAAAAAAAAAAATAGAGCCTGCTGGTGTTGGCACAGACCTGCAGTCCCAGCACCTGGGAGGCAGAGGCAGGAGGATCTCTGAGTTCAAGGCCAGCCTGTTCCGCGACAGGGTCCAAAGCTACCCGGAGAAACCTTGTCTCAAAAACAAAATAAAATAGAGTCCTTGTGAGTTGTGATAAAGGCGGAAATGTTATTCTAACAGTGAGAGAGAGAACACTACTGGATTTAGCCTGTTTCCTATTCTTTTTTTTTTTTAAATATTTATTATTTGTGTGCACATGTATGTCTGTGCACCGAATGCATGCAGTATCCAAAGATGCCAGAAGGGGGTGTCAGATATCCTGGAACTGGAGTTAGAGGCAGTTGTGAGCACCTATGTGGGTGCTGGGAACTGAACCCACAGTTCCAGAAGGGCCGTGCTCTGACCGGCTGAGCCGTCTCTCCAGCCTGCTATGTCCCAAACCACAGTCACTCACTTTCGCATTCTGTGTACAGACCCTTAGAGCTAAGGAATGCAACTCCTTCAACCACCAAATGTCTTTCTTTCTATCCCTGGGGGTTTCTCCTTGAGAATGCACCTCTGTGTCTACGATGAGAAAACGTATTGATTACAAAGTGGCTTTTGCCTTGGGCAAAATTTACCGGAACAGATCTGGTCCTTGAAAATGATATTGGTTACACAAATCTAATTATAACATAGGCATCATTTTTGTGGCCTTTCAGAATGATGCCTTGCTAGTAGGTAATCAATTAACTAAAGTGAAAGTCCTCTGCAGTGTATCATTTTAGAGCTGTACATTGATTTACACACGTTTATGGCTTCCAAGATGTTGGTAAATAATTAAATGAAGTTAGAGGTGACTCTGGGTTTATTATTATTGTTTAGAGAACCCAAACACAACATTAACTACCTGTGTCAGCTCTAAATCACACGTGAGCCCTTCCTGGTATGTTACATGCAGGCGGGAGACAATGGAAATTAGATTATCAAAGCAAAACGAAAAACTGTTCTGCCTACATTTTAAAATCTTGTCCCATAGACCATCAGAAAGCGGCTTACAGTAGTGAGCAGTTAGCCACGGCTAACTGTGGCTCACAGTCCAAGGGACACAGTTCACTGAGGGTGGGAAGCCAGGGCAGGGGAGGAACACTGACCACGTTGCGCTCAGTTTGGGGTGGGTGGGGTGGGTGTGCGGTGCCGGCGCTCAGCTCAGTTTCTCCATTGTATTTAGTCCTGGACCCCGCCTAGCCCATGAGATGGTGCTGCCCACATTCAAGGTCCTTCCATCTTCAGTTAAAGACCTGGACATCCCCTCACAGGCATGCCCCGGGGTGACCTCCGCGGTGACCCACACAGGTCCATCCTCAGACCGCTTCTGGCTTAATGCAAAGCGTCCTCAGCTTTTACTTCAGTTTCACACGTGTACACAGGACAGTGTGATCCTCTCTGCGCCCCATGGCCCTCTCTAACTTGCCTCTCGCTCCTGCAGACCCCTCCTCTTCCTCCCGATTAGCCCTGTACTGTGTGTACACATCATGTCATATCTGGAAGACGGAATTTCACAGGGCTCCTACCCTGGCTTCCAGCCCTTACAGCTCTCCCACCGACTCTTCTGAAATGGGCTCTTGGTCTTTGGGAATGATAGTGGGGTCTGAGAAAATAAAAAACATACTCAGTTCAACAGGACAGAAAAAGAGGAGCCAGCCATGGCTTAGAATCAATGAGATTCTGCAGGAATGGAGGGGTAGGGGGCTCGACCCTCAGTTAGCACCCAGGAGTCCTTGTCCCTCGGTCAGATCAGTGACTTAGCTCTTGGAGGAGAGGGGAGGGGAGGTCACCCACACTGACACACTGCAAGGAATCCAGAGTGTGTAAATATCACCCCAGGCGTGACTGTGTGTGTGCATGTATGCACACATGCTCCCTGTCTGCTTGACGGGAAGATGGGTGTTTTCAGGGCAGACCCCCACCCTGCGCTCTGAACACCAGGTGCCAGACGTGAGCAAAGCAGCGCAAAGTCCCTGTCCCTGGGCCTTGCTCGCCATGGTGCCCTCAGACTCCCCCCTTCCGTGGCTCCTTTGCAGGCTTTGATCACAACTACAGGAAAAGTAACTGGCCCAGGGGACTCAGGGAGATAAGTGGGGAGGAGTGAATCCCCTCTGCGCTCAGCCAGCCAGGGGCTGTGCAGGATGTCTCCAGTGACACATCCCCGAATGCCTAAAGTCTGCTTCAGCATCCTGAACCTATGTCCTTTCCCGGGGACACACCAACACCACTGTCTACACTGCCACCCCACTGGAATGCGGGGAAACTGGAAGGACAGCCCCAGTGGCAGCATTTCAGCCAGAAAGAAGTAGGTTCATCACCCGGATGGTGTGAGAGATGCCTGCTATATTATATATTATACGGCATGTATCTAAATACATGATATGTTTACGGGCCTGTTCAAACTGGCAGTGTGAAGCCGGGCGGTGGTGGCACACGCCTTTAATTCCAGAACTTGGGAGGCAGAGGCAGGCAGATCTCTGTGAGTTCAAGGCCAGCCTGGTCTACAAGAGCTAGTTCCAGGACAGCTTCCAAAGCCACAGAGAAACCCTGTCTCAAAAACAAACAAAACAAAACAAAAAAAGTCAGTATGTTCTCGTTACTTGGCATATTTGTTTACTGTCTAGCTAATCTGTTTTACATACTCTTTTTGGACCTTTCTTAATCTCGAAAGCTGAATTCCAAAGCCCACATATTTTAACACATTCTTCCTGAAGGAAAAAAAAAATTGCTTTCTTGCCAAAATACTTTCAAGCTCTCAGCGATGACTCAGAACCTGGGTTTACACACTGGATCCATTCTTAAAACTGTACCCTGGCAGCTGAAGGTGGAGCTAAGTTATAGTGCCTGCCTGGTGGCAAGTCTGTTTCCCAATGCCAAAAAAAAAAAGAGAGAGTTCGGGACAGCCAGAGACTACACAGAGAAATCCTGTCTCAAAAACAAAAACAAACAAAAACTGTTTTCCACACCAATGAAACATAGATCCTTCTACTAGATAAGAAATACATGAAGAATACAGTGCCAAGTGGTCAATAATGTAAATAGCTTTATGTCAAACATTTGCATTATTGAACCCAATGCCAAGTATTACAGATTTTTAAAGATTATCTGTATTTTGTGTGTATGCACTTTGCCTGTATGTACACCCATGTTCCTGCAGTGCCAACAGAGACCAGAAGAAGGCGACATTGGCCGTGAGTTGCCTCGTAAGCCCTGGGAACTGAACCCAGGTCCTCTAGAAGAAAACCCAGTGCTCGTAACCGCTCAGACCTCTCTCCAGACTCTACTACACATTTTTCAGACAAAGTGAGACTTGAAATAACTTTCACTAGCGGATTACAGCTTTTGAGCTACATCCCTAGACCCACACAAGCCACCCGCTGTCCTCCACAGCTCAGGCTGCCCAATGACCGAGGCGACTTTTCCAATATCCTACCCTGGTGCATCAGAACACGTGGTCCCCAGCAGGGGGCGGAGCTGTGGGAGGCTGAGCCTTCGGGAAGAGCCTCCTGGAGGAAGTGGGTGACTGGGGGTAAGCCTTGCGGTTTTAGAACCCACCTTCCTGTTTGTTTTCTATTCCTGTCTGCCAGGAGGCCAGGGGTGGCCCTGTGCCTTCCCCTCCATGACACTCTGAACACCTTACAACCGTGGATCCTAACAAGCCCTCCCTCGAGTTTCTTCATATAGGGAATTTGGTCACAGGGAAGAAAAGTAACCGAACTGATTATCTACCTAAAATGCCTGCTCCACACACTCCTACAGACGCTCCCAGCCCCCACCATCGCCAGAGCTCTCCAGCCTGAGCATGGAGCATCGCATTCCTCTGCCGCCACCCCATCTAGGGTGCATGTTGAATCTTTGCTACAAGATAGTATCTTAGTAGGTCTGCACACACACGGTAAGGATGCACTTCCCAGGAACAGGCCAGGGTACCCTGCTCAGCAGCAGCCGCCGCCGGGACCATGCACAGATCCGTAGCATCCCTGCCTGCAAGTCTAACTCCTAAGAAGGAGCACCTGTCTGGCTCAGCAGTCCTCACAGATGGTTCTCTGAGCTGCCCACATAAATAAAGCCCGTCCTTGCAAAGGCCAGTTTCTGCCTCCTCGGTCTATACTTTAACAGCAACCAAGGCCAGGGCTGGGGCTCCCTACCCACCTGGTTCTTCCTATAGTCCTGCTGCGAATGCCTCAGGACTCGGTAGCAGAGGCGCAGCATGTACTTGTAGGGGGCATAGCGCTGGTCGCCCAGGTCCTCCAGCCTCAGCATCGAGCCTTCTCCAGCCCTCTCCTTGAAAGGAGCCTTAAGGATTCCAAACACCTAGGAGAGTAAGGAGATCCTTCAGTTTTGATGCACACACGGGCATGCTCTGCAACCTGTTTGCATTTTTAGCAAATAACATGGACTTGAAAGCACTGTAGAAATGTGAGTGCAAAGGTACTTATTGGTGGTTAGTCCTGAATAAAAACTAAAACACTGTCGAACCAAAAACTCACTGCTTACAAGAGTACCCAGTCAACAAGTCCGCTACATGAATGGCATGATTAATTTTATTTAGAAACCATATTTTATTAAGGTGGGAAGCACTAAGGTGTTTGTATCAAGGTACACGGATATATTCAGACGAATTAAAATATGTTTTCTATATGCTTTCATTATTCTGCTATACATTTGCTGTAACTTTCCAAAATCAACATAATATAAAAGACATGTTTACTTTTTGCCTGAAACTTACAACAGGTAACGTTTTCCAAATGTCACTGTTACCTGGTTGTAGGCAAAAGGAAATAACTCCAAACACATATGCACCCAATAACAGCGATTTTAAACACACAACACTTTCTCGGAGAGTTCATCCACAGATGCTGGACTTAGTGCGGGGACACCCAATATATTCACGTCCGCATCTGTAACCACGCCCAAAAGGCGTGGTCACTGTTACAGGTGTGGAGGCGAGTATGTCCCAACAATCCACCGTTCATAGAACGCAGGTAAGTGGCCATGGGAATGAATGCATCGACACTGAAGTATTAATAAGGAGCCACAGGGTTAAGCAGGGAGAGTCCCCCTCCCCTCATCCCTCATCCCTCGCCCCTGCATCCCCTCCCCCCATTCCCAGGGAGCCAAATTCTTGCCTTCTGGAGAGGAGCCAGCAGGCTAAGATCCCTGTGAGGAACATGAGATCCAGACTATGATCCTCAAAACAAGAACGCAAAACTGAAAGGAGCTGTCCCTCGGAGTTCGTGAAATAGGACACTGCGGCTCTTTGAGGCGTTGACAAAGAGTTTCTTTTTGCAACGGCTGGAGACTATTACAGAGATCTGCAAGTGGCCCCCGTCTAACCAATACACCTGCACACATCCCCTACCTCTAAGTCCTGAAAGCCATGGAGGAGCCGCAAAGATTGTGAGTGGCAGAAGAAGAGGGCATCTGCTATGAGAATGTCCTCTATGTGTGCCTCCCGAGGCTAAAGGGACCCAGGAGGGTGTGTGTGCACATGCACACGCATGCATGTACATATGTAACAATAATAAGGGAGAGACCATGAATTTGGAAGAGAGAGAAGTTGGGGAGAGGGAGGGGCAGATGTGATAAAAGCCGTCAGTGTCCGTGTGTCAAGTTCTTAAAAGTAAAATTACTTTTTGAAAAGAAGGCTTCTATGTTCCCCAAACGTTGGATTTTATGTTCATACCATGAGATAAAAGGTTTCCAGTTGTCCATATATGGTTAATACAGAAGCCAACTGTTTTAAGTAGCAAATAAAACAATAAAATGAAGATGTAACTGCAGGAATGTCCCTTAATTAATGGACAGATTAACTTACTGGTATCTTATGCACTTCAGATATCTGGACTGGACTGCTAAGTGTTCCCGACGGAAGCAGGTAGGATGGTTCCAAAATCACCTGGAAATGTGTTTATTAAGATGCTCCGACCACACCGGTATTTTGGAGAAGTGTGGTGGGTACCTCTGAGTGAGCCTCAAATGGTCCCTAACTTCTGCTACCCATGTCCCTGTGGAATTCTCTCTCTGCTTCTAGCCAATCACACAGAACTGGGGGCTATGGAATCTGTGGTAATGTTTTAAAGACTCTATGTGTAAGCATTACTGCTCAGATGGAAAGGTATTCTGTCACTCGGGAGCCAAGGAAAACTGAGTGTTACAATCTCACCCAAACCTCTTTCAAGAGATTTACTGGGAGAGATGAATCCAGTAGCCGCTTCTGCCAGGGTGGCAGAGGACAGCTGGCCAGGCCAAACAGCCACAAGCTGAACAGACACTGGGTTTATACAGGGTTCCTTAGGGGGCGGAGTTTTTCCAGGGAGATTTCCAGGGTGGGGATTGGTCAGATTTCAGTCTCTGAGCTCAGAATGGCTAGATCGCCTGCTCTGGGATTGGTTGGTTTTCAGCACAGGTTTAGGGTCAGATTTGGCTCTGATTCCAGGACAAAGTGTGTTTCTTTCACGGGTCCCTTTTAAAAGCCTTTTGGCTCTAATTTTAGCCAGGGTGCATTTCTTTCGCTGGCTCTGATTCCAGGACAAAGTGTGTTTCTTTCACTGGTTTCAGGGTCAGGGTCATTTCTTTGGTTCTGGCTGCAGGGACAAAGTGTGTTTCCTTGGCTCTGCTCAGGGTGTGTATCGTTGACTGACCTTTCGCCTACACTGTGGCTGTGTCTGTGTGTCCCCTCTCTTCTCTGGAACCCCTCACTTTTAAGGGAAACATCTTGGTTTGGAGGTTGAAGCTCATCACCGAGAGGAAAGCTCAGCAGGGGCTCCCAGCAGCTGCTCTCACCGTGTCCACCGCCAAGAGCAGAGAGCACCTTTCTTCATTTTCTGCAGTCTAGGATTTCCACCCAGGGGCTGGGCTGACCTGTAGTCAATGAGTCTTCCTAAATCAGCCGGTGTCATCAGGACAATCCCTTATAGGCTCTCAAACCCTCAAGCTGCAGCTAACACAACCACCACAGGAAGCTAACACTAACCATCACCACAGGAAGCTAACACTAACCATCACCACGGGAAGCTAACACTAACCATCACCACAGGAAGCTAACACAACCATCACCACGGGAAGCTAACACTAACCATCACCACGGGAAGCTAACACTAACCATCACCACGGGAAGCTAACACTAACCATCACCACAGGAAATGCTCTATCTTGAGACAGACTTATGTAGCAAACTCTGTGTCTCCTCTCAGTCCACTCTAGGGATGACTGTGGCCCTGTCTAACACATTGACAGTCCCTCTGAGAATGCTCCTGAGCAAGACCTGCCCACAGACACTGCTCTTGCATTCAAAACTCACAGAAAACTGAAGTAAGTGTCTAGGCGTCATCTGTCATGCAGCAAGGCATAACTGATACTGTAACTCAAAACATAAAATATGCAGATTTGGTTCACGAAGCAACTCACCTGTGCCAGGATGTTTTGTTCCCTCATTAGTTTCTGCCGTTCCCGGTTTGGCTTGGTGATGACCACATCCAGAACATCCTGTCCGTTGTTAGTCACATCAGCCACAAAGAAGATGAGGTCTTCCAACAACTTAGTCACAAACCTATCACAGAGAAAAGATGTGACAATTCCGGACTATTAGAAACTAGGCCTGAGAACTGAAACACTAAGAGCGTTAGACTAATTTTAAGAAAACTTAATCAACAAAGCATAAGGACTCATGCAACTGCTACTTGATTTTGACAATATTTCCCATCCAGTTCCAGTTCCTCCTGCCCTCCGCTCCAATCCCAACTCTAATCAAATATTGCAAATGGTTATTAAGTAAAAGTCCATGAGTCTCAAGAGCAAATGGGCGTGGAAGAGGGCACAAGTGTGATTTCATGTCTCCCAGACATTATTGTCAAAGCAAACCTCTGACACCAGGTAACCTCAGCCGGCTAAAGTGAGACTGAATCTCACTGATGCCGCTCGGCGAACATTTAGCTTCAATGCAAATACTTTGTCTTGTTGACTCCACACCTGGACGTGGGTGTTTAGACATGAAAAACAAAAGGTTCAGTTGTGTTGTGACTCTAGGTTACTCTTAAAAAGCTAATGACATGAGTAGAATATTAATATTTCTCATTCTCTCTCTCTCTCTTCCCCCCCCCCTTGGGTATTTAGCCCAAGGAGGCCAGGAGAGGGCATCGGATGGTTATAAGATGCCATATGGGTGCTGGGAACTGAACCTCCATCCTTTGGGAGAACAGCAAATACTTTTAACCACTGAGCTATCTCTCCAGCCCAAGAACATAAAGTCTTGATGGATGGTCACTGTGCATTACTCCTAATACACAGATGTTATTGTTCACTGTAAAGATTTGTCACTAGTATTGTTTTAATAAAACACTAACTGGCCAGTAGCCAGGCAGGAAGTATAGGCTACACTACCAGACTAGGAGAATTCTGGGAAGAGGAAAGGCAGACCCAGAGGAAGCAAGAAGAGAAAGTCTAAAAAAGAAAAGGTACCAAACCACGTGGCTAAACATGGATAAGAGTTATGGGTGAATTTAAGTTGTAAGAGCTAGCGGACAATGAGCCTGAGCAGCAAGCCGAACAGTTTATAATTAATATAAGCCTCTGCATGTTTATTTCGGACTGAATGGCTCTCGGGGATCTGACGTCAGGTTTGGCGTCTGCTCACCTCCTCTCGTTCTGAGTGATGCTGCCATTCTCCAGCTTCCTCACTGTGCCTGCCAGAACTTTGTTGGCATCATTGGCAAAGTCTAAGTCTCGGACCTCGGACAGCGGGACACACACAATGGCAAAAGCTTCTTTGTCTTCCTTAGTCTGGCAAGTTCCAATCTGCAACGTGCGTTTCCATTAAACGACAGCAGCCTCAGGAGACCATGGTCCTCAGCAGTAAGATACACTGCGTGGGTGTGGACATGCCCGTCCCCCACCCTGTTCTTGAAGAGCCGCCGAAGAGCGTTTCTTTCCCACGCCAAACCTCTGCCCAGATACTTCCAAGTAGAGAAGATGCCCCTGGAATCCTCCCGTGCCTTTTTGATGTCCGCACCCTACCTCTCCTCCATCCTACGCACGGCCCTGCTGCGGCCACCCAGGGCAGAGGCCTAAGCACCTGGCAGATGTTCACTCCCACGAACAACCCAGCTGCAACTGTTCTAGTGCCCAGAAAGATGGACTCGGCAGCTGGCAGATGGTGAGCCAGCCCTGGCACACTTACTTTCAGCATGACGGGCCTCTCTTCCTCGGTGTCTATGGGGATGCTGGTGCTTGTTACCCAGGTATTGGTGCACAAATGCCTTAGCCGCACATAGGAGTTCCTGAAAGCAAATGATAGGAAAGTCATGAGAGCTCGCTTGTACATTTATTTGGCTAGCTCTCTTGATTAGTAAGCCATAACTATTAATCTATGTATGTATTTCTACATGGTCTTGTCTTACCGGAGAGTACTGTTAGTCCTTTGGGAGCTACATGGCATCTCCCTGGTGGCTCCTCTCTGCCTCCCTCTCCCCTGGTCTGGTAGCCCTGCCTATGCTTTTCTGCCTGGCTATCAGCCAATCGGTGTTTTATTCATCAACCAGTAAGAAAAACATATATACAGGAGGACCTCCCCACGGCAGGCTGGTAAGAGGGCTCAGAGGACAAAGGGGCTTGCTACCCAGCCATGAGGACCTGAGTTCAATCCCCAGAACCCACTGAAGATGGAAGGCAAGAATCAACTCTACAGATCTGTCCTCTGACCTACACACAGAGACAATAATATTTTTACTTAGCACCCTTTGAGTATTGGCATATTCAGCAGACGCATGTGTGATATGAACAATAAATGTCAGACTGGTAACCACCTCAGGATCTGTCTGGGATAAGAAGCGTCTTACAATCCAGACTGCTGTGGACAGCGTCACTTCCTGGGCCATCAGTGTCACCAGAGAACTTTGTCAAAATGCAACTTCTAAGACCTCCCTGGTCCACTGGGGGTGTGGTCAGCAGTGACTCATTTATCCTGTTCCCAGACAGCCACTAACCTACATGCAGGTGCATTTCAACCAGGAGCTCACAGGATTCACACCCTGCAAGCAACAGTTACACATGTGGCCATGCCTTGAGTCATGAATAACAAAAATCCTCTGCGTAGACACTATGGCAGAATGCTGGAGAGGGCACCTAGGACTCCATTCCGCTCAGACAGCGTCTTCTCCACCTCATCTCGTGTTCCAATTATTTCTTCAACAAGAGTGCACAGCGCCGTTAAAATAAAGAGCCTGTCACTTAGTGTTCAGCCTAAAGCTAAGACGTGAATATGTCATCCAACCTAAAGTAAACATTTTAGGACCAAAGAGAAGACAGGACACCAGACGCCTCAGGAAACTCGTCGTCAAGGTTCTTGCTCTGTTGTGGGATAGTGTTTTAAGCTGTGAGACTTTTGCTTGTGCTCTGCAATGCTTGTTTAATGGTGTAAAGATGTGTTGCTTTTGTTCATGCTGCATTTGTTTAACCCTGAAGCTGTGACTCTTAGCCTGGCGAAAGCACCTGATGGTCTAATGAAGAGCTGAGCAGTGGGGCAGGGGAAAGGTCAGAAGTGGCTGCCAGGCAGGGAGAGAGGATGAAAAGAAGAAGCAAGCTTGAAGGAGAGGAGGACATCAGGGGACAGCCACCCGGCCACCCAGCCACACCGCCAGCCATGGAGTAAGAAGGTAAGCTGTGCAGACGCAGGATAAAAGCCCAGAGGGAAAGGGCACACGGGATCGTTTAAGTTAAGAGAAACTGGCAATGCACACGTCAAAGTAAGGCTGGGCAGTTATAAGTTAGATAAAGTCTGTGTGGGACTCATCTGGGTGGCGAGCCCCCCAAAAATGTCAAAGAGCAAGGAATAATAAGAGTAAAAAAACCAGTGTTGCTCATTCATCAAAGTAGATAAAATACACAGTGAGCTTCAATATCTAGAACGGCAAGCACCTGACCCTTGCCCAAACAACCAGAAATGGCCCTGTGTTAGCTCCCAGCATCCTCCACACTGGCCTAAGCAGGGGATGGTTGTCTACAGCTGCTGTATCCCCTGCCGCCCGAAGCTCTGGAAACTGGCGCCACGGCACACTGTGTGGTGGCCAGCTCCTCTGTTCTGCGCTTACATTTTTCAACACAGGTGAGTTTCCCTTCTTCAAAATGCTTGTGTGGTGGTCTAAACATTGCATGGCTTCCGTGGGCTGGCATGTTAGAATGCTGGATTCCCAGTTGGTAGCCTTGTTAGAGGAAGCATGCCACTGGGGGTCAGCTTTGAGGTTCCAAAAGTCGACCCCATTCTAGCTGGTGGTCTCCTCTCTCTCTCTCTCCCTCTCTCTCTCTCTCTGTCTAGTAGTTATTGCTCAACATATAAGTTCTCAGCTATTGCTACTGAACATGCCTGCCTGTGGCCACGTCCCCTACCATGATGGTCATGAATTCTGACCCTTTGAAACCATGAATCTCCAAACTGCCTTGATCATGGTGCCCCTTCGCAGCAATAGAAAAGCAACAAAGGCAGCTTGGAACCAGGGCAGCTGAGGTTTCAGATTTTATTTTTTAATCATTTCAGTGCAGGTGTTTAATGAGTTCTTTTGGGATGAGAGCCAAGTCTTTTGGGATGACATTCATTTACATTCCATGTGTACCTCAGCCTCCTAGGCCAAAGCTGATTTTTATACAATATTTTAAGTACACCTGCATTTTAACCATAATCTATCACACAAAGTCAGGTGTAGAATTTTCCACTTGTGGCATCATATTGGTTCTCAAAAACTGTCACTTTGTGGGTCATTTCAGATGAGATTTTCAGATCAGGGAAGCTTTAACCCTGGATGAGCCCCTTGAGTCAACCAACAACACTACTGGGCTGCAAACTGAAGAGATGACCCAGACTGACATGATCTTCAAGGACTTAGGGACCAAGTCACAGATGTGTGCTGGTACTCAGGTGTGTGTGACATGGTCTGGTTGTGTACAGTACAAGGCTGCCACTGGGAAACGGTATCTCAGCGCAGACTTTCACAGGCCACAGCGTGAGCACAGACAGGTCAGTTAGCATGCCCTTCTAAGTCGCTGTCTCCCAAACTCTGCTGTCTGTCACCTGCAAAGTTCTTATAAACCCAAAGTCTAGGTTGCAACACACGCCAGTTAAAGTGGTGTCTGGAGTGGGAGGCAGGACTGGTCACAGATTGCTAAGTGTCCACTGGGAGGGAAAGATTGGGAGCTGAACTCGAGGCCCTTGGTCCTAACAGTGCCGTCTGTGGCTTGCTAGAAAATCACTCTCCCAGCCCCACTGAGGACCAAGGACTCAGTCTGTGTATCATCTCCCTGTGGCTGACTTGGGGATCACCAGGCTAAGGCACCACTGTGGAACGTTGTCCTCCGAACATAAAAGCCGAACATAATCAGGACAGGTCTCCCAGAGCTGGGCCTGTTGATGTTCCCTCATGGGGGAGGGGAGGGAGGGTAATTAGGCCCTCAGCTGAGGAAGCCACTCCCTCCCAACTATGTATAGTCTCATCAAGTTCTAGAATGCATGGTAGGGAAAGGTTAGCTGAAGAGGGGGCCATCTGTACAGCATGGTTCAGGAAATGCTGCATTTCATCTTAGAACCCCCTGGGTGATGCTTTTAAAAGATGTGGCGTCCACACCTCACCGTAAGACTGACTTCTTCGTTCTCAGAAGGGCCAGGACCTGTGCTCAGATCTTCCTCAGCCAGTCTGAGAAGATCTGCTCCAACTCAGCCTCTGACCCCCGACCTCTGAGAGTTACCCAGGGTAAATCCAGATAGTGGCTATGAAGGACCTGGCATGGGGCTTGGCACATAGAAAGTATTCGAGGATTTCATATGAGGATGTGCAGGTGACTAGTGTTAAAGGTTTGTTGTTAGCTAAACAGTAAATGGCAGCTGGATCACATTAACACACAATCCCTCACAACAGCGGAAAGAACTTCAACCCTTCTGAACAGCGTTGGCTAACACACACCTCTGTGCAAAGTGAGACTCAGTAACCTTGTGGTGGGCGTACGCACCTGACGGTGAGCCCTTCTCACCATTTCCTTAAGCAAATTCTCCTTCGTTTAATTCAAAACAGACACCCATTTTTGCTGACTTAGATCTAAAACGAGTTAAGTTAGAGTATTAACCAAGGTCCCCACATGTTGTGGCTTGAAAGAAAATGAACCCTACAGAGAGTGGCACTATTAGGAGTGGGTGTGGCCTTGTTGGAGTGGGTGTGGCCTCGTTGGAGGGGGCGTGGCCTTGTTGGAGGAGGCGTGTCACTGTGGAGGCTGGGTTCGAGGCCTCATATGCTCAAGCTGTGCCCAGTGTGGTACTCAGTTCACTCCCTGCTGCCTGTAGATCAAGATGTAGATCTCTCCAGCCCCTTCTCCAGCACCGCGTCTGTCTGCACGCCACCCGCCATGATGATAATGGACTAAACCTCTGAAACTGTAAGCCAGGCCCAGTGAATCACTTTCCGTTATAAGAGTTGCTGTGACAGCTGGGGAACCAGTATCTATCCCTGCCCTTTGGGAGCCCATTCCCTATGGAGGGATGCTCTCTCAGCCTAGATACACTGGAGAAGACCTAGGTCCTGCCCCAAATGATGTGACAGACTTTGATGATCTCCCATGGGAGACCTCACCCTCCCTGGGGGGGGGGGTGGATGGGGGGTGGGATGGGGGGTGGTGAGGGGCATGGGAGGATGGGAGGGAGAGGAAACTGGGATTGGTATGTAGAATAAGATTTTTTTAATTTAAATAAAAATGTATTTAAAAAAAGAAGAAGAAAGAAAGAGTTACTGTGCTCATGGTGTCTCTTCACCGGGATAGAATCTGAGACACCAGACACTTGGCCCAGGCCAAAGCAGCAGAGCGCATGTCTTCGGTGCCTGCATTGGTGAGCAAGGAGCCGGGAGAGACAGACTCACGTCAGGGAGCCTCAGATCTCTGCATACCTCTTTCCAGTGAGGCCACACAGAATAAATCTCCTTTTTCAGCTTTCTGTTTTTAATTTGGCTCTTTTAATTGGCTTAATGAGCACAGGTGGCTGGACCCGACTTGGGGCCCTGGCTGTGACCCACAAGCCCGAGAGCGACCTGCGCTCATGTGTTTATTGGTCTGGCAACCCCATTTCTCATCTGGATGGCCGGGCCATGGTCTGCTCGTGAGTGACAGTCAACAAATACTTCAAACAAGCGAGTGAGCGAGGCAGGAAATCTGACAGATAAAGGATAAAATTCACACTAAAAATGCTATTAGATTATTTTTCATTGCTGTGGCCAAAGTCCACGCAATTAATATTTTTTTCAGGACTTCTTCGGTACCACACGTTTTAATTATTTTACAAATTGATTAAGCTGTGTTAATGTGTTCACCTGAGGGAGGTACGACGCTTTGCACGCATTGTCTTCGCTTGTGTTCCCTTCTACTGAAGAATTTTATTACTGTTACATTTTTATTTCTACCTGTTGGGAAGACTATTCAAAGGAGCACCTGTTCATCCTGATTCCTTTCACTTAATTATTTCTCTTTTATTTTTCTATCCCTCTTTTACCTTGGAACCAGGCAGTCAGCTCTCTGAAGAGTTGTGGCGTCGAGTTCGAAAAGGGATGCGATATCATTTCCATGTGGTACTGAGACCAGCGTGTACATGATCTTCTCCCCTGCTTGGCGCTTCTTCTTTGAGGCCGGAAGCTCTCCGTCCCTCTGTTGAAGAGGTTCAAGGTTATTCGGTGCCTTCAGATGTGGCGTTAGCTGCTCCAGTTAATCAGGAGATAAGGTCTGGTTCGCCATTCTTTCACTGGGCTATAGGAGTGTCTATGCTGCATCCCCCAGAAGGTCAGGGCACACCACACCGCCTTTGTAATGATTAAGGGCAGTCACATGCCCCGAGCTCCCTGGAGGGGTAGCCTAATCTGAGCATGTCCTTAAATCCCAACAGTTATGGCCCCTTCTCCAGAGGTTTCCATACCTGTTTATAACACAGTGATTTAGCCCTCTATATTTACTTCAAACACAGAGAAGCAGCAATGTCCCAAACCCTCTAAATTCCATGGACTCAAGAAGACATACAAACGACCAATGGGTACAGGAAAGGATGCTCAACGCCACCAGTCACAGGGGAAATGTAAATCAAAGCCACGGCGGACAGCACACTGCTAAGGGACAGCATGACACAGCCCAGGGGAGAGAACCCTTGCACCCTGTGGATGGGATGTAAACTGGTGCCATTATCATGAAAACACGCGACCCAGGGACTCTCCCTGTGGGCGTGAGTATGTGAGAGCCATGCAGGGTCACACTCAAATGCAAAAACCACAGTCCCTACCTCACAGAGAGCCCTATGTTCCAGGACTAATCAATAAGTCATCCATGTAAACAGCCGAAGGCAGGCGACAAACAATAGAAGGGGAAGGATGAAAGAAAGGAGAGAGGGATGCAGGGAGCTGAAGGATGACGTTTCACTGGTCCATGAGGAGACTGTCCAGGGACTATGCTGCCCAGCTTTCTCTGGAGGCTCCAAAGGGTAAACTCACAGCCCTGACTGCCAGTAGCAGAGGCATGTGACCCTCCTGTACAGGACCAATGGAACACTATGTGTAATTACAAATATTTTCTTCCTTTTTATGTCAGGGTCTCCCTAAGTAGCCCAGGCTGGCCTCCGACTCACAGCAATCCTCCTGCCTCTGCCTGCCAAACGCTGGAATTAAGAACAAACACTCCTAGCTGGAGTTCCTTCTGGAAAACAAGAGCTCCGAAGTTAAAGATGGTGAAGAACGCAGCAGAGGGAGAGTATGTCAGAGGCGAGGGAAGAAGAGGGAGGGAGGAATCTGGAAGAATAGGAACTTTGTTGCATTTGCAGTGGCAACAAGCTGTTGAAGAACTTTGGGGATTCCATGACGCTGTGGGTGCCAAGAGAATGACAGAGGAGGTGAGCCTGCCCCTCCCTGTGAAAGAGGTGACCAGGATGTCAGAGCTCACAGCTGAGCAGAAAGAGGCAGAGGACTTCATGGACACCCAGAGAGTGAGATCCACACAAGCCTCAGTCCCGCTGCTCTCCCCAAGCCCCACAGCCAGGTGGCTTCTGGGGTCTTGATTCTGGAAGCCCAGGGTCTAAGCACACGTCTGGGGCAGCTGTGGAGGGCCCTGGGGCTGCATGATATGGGGAACACCACCATGAGCCAGAGCAACTGAGTCCCAGCCCACCTGGCTCTGCAACAAGCTACACAGATCCCAGACCAGCCCAGGAACCCGTGAGTGAGGTCTCTCATGCCCACTTCTTCCCAGGGGACCCAATCCCTCTGCCACCCCGAGGATCAAGTTTCCAACACACTGGACGCAGGCAACACAAGCTACCACAGGGCATAAGTGGTTTGGGCAGATAGGGAAGATTGTAATTAAAACGCAACTGAGCTCAGGGAAGAAAGTTCCCATCAGTTGACCTGAACCATATTTTGAAGACAGTCTTTATTGGCAGAAGAGGGGTTCGCAACAGCAACAGCTGGAGGACCAGTGGTGCAGGGTTCCAACAGTGTCTGGTGTAGAGGACAAAAGAAGTTGCCAGCATTCTTGGAAGGATACCGCATGCCTAAAAGAAGTATGTCACCTAATTTCCTGACTGAGCCTTCCCTTCACTTATAATTTAGCCTTGGATGCACGTACTCTGGGGTGAAAACGTGCTAACTGGTACAGCTATTTAGATCTACTTGGGAACTGAAAGTTGATAGTATTTGTGTGGTCTGTGTTCACCCCACCTTTGAGGTGATTTTTGTAGACTTACAAGAAGACTTCAGGTCTAGATTCCTAGGGGTGGCCTCCTACACGGCTCTCCTCGTCTCTGTACTGTGATGCTTGCACTGCAATGACTCTTTTCAAAATAGATATTTTTAAAAACTCACTGATTAGGGTTAATTAAAACAAGCCACTGCTAATTATTCATAGCACTCGAGAGCTGTAACTACGTAGCACACATGGAATGTGCTACAGTTATTTCTCCATCCCTTCCCACTGGTTCTTGGAAAATAGTTTTAATATGAAGAAAATTCCTGTACATAAGCAATTCCACAACTGTGTGTGGAGGAGCTTCCACCGTGCCTATATATCTTTACGAGGGCCTTGCTGTCGGGAGCCTCCTGCTCTGAGTCTCCCACGCTCTAATTTATTTAACAGACTCTGCTTCATAAACAGTTCGGAAGTAAACATTAAGCCTGCCCGTTGGCATTTTTAAGTAATTAAATATGGATAATGAGTTATGAGCATACCAGGAGCCTGGAAGGTGCTCTTCTAAGCAGACCCCACACAGGCTGGAGAAAGACAGGATGGGACCTGGCTTCTGTACCCTTCTTCACTTTGGCTCAGAAGCCTGACTGACCCTGCACACAGGCACTAGGCGCTTGCTCGACAAGTGTCTGTCTTCCTCCCCTACATTAATGCTTTTCCAGATGACACTGTCCTCAGCCTGTGGTCACCTTGGATTCCAAGAAGAGAAATCCTCAACCGGCTCACTGTCCCCCAGCGAGGGTGACCACCAGTAAGGGTGGAGGCTGGGCCCTCAGCAGAAACGATCGCTCTGGGGGAACCCATGGAGTCAGTCAAATGATGGTGGCATAGTAACTTCGGGCAGCCTGTGGAGCCTGGTCTGAGAGAGAGGTAACCAGACAGAGGCTTGACCAGGACTCACAGTTGGGGCCCAGTCTTACTCTGGTTAGACCGAGAGCTTGCGTGAGGATCCCGAAGACAGATGAGCTCACCAGCCCCTCATCCTCTTCCCCTGTGGCCACCCTAAAACTATCTCCTCCCTCCATCCTCTCTCTAACAGGTGTATTAGGATGTCAAGCCTGGCTGGTCAGGACTGCCAGAGCCACCCAAAAGCTCTAGTTACATATATTATCACGAATGTAGCTTCAACAGACAGGAAAGGCAATCCTGTACCTTTGTAACATTAAGACAATTCTGTTCAAGCTCATGGGCTCTGTGGATTCTGTTTATAAACCCACACTGATTTGTAAGAAAAGAAAAAGACAGAGACTGTGGCTCTCTATGGAGGATTTTGGAAGCAGCATAGTTTGCCTTTTATCATTTAAAAAAAAATAAAAAATGTATTCAGAACCTCGGAGCTTAAACAGGTACCTAGTGGAGCACCAGCAAGCTCTCTCTGATGCGCCCAGCTTAGGAGCTCAGGTCTCAGGACGTCACCTGTCCACTGGGTACTTATCATATAGGTGTGCTTCAAATAAGGTGTACATGTGTGGGTGTGCATGCCCCCATGTGTGGGTGCAGAGGGTTGTGTGTGTGTGTCTGTGTCTCTGTATGTGTCTGTGTGTCTGTGTGTGTGTGTCTGTGTGTATGTGTCTGTGTGTCTGTGTGTGTGTGTCTGTGTCTCTGTATGTGACTGTATGTGTCTGTGTGTCTGTGTGTCTGTGTGTGTGTGTATGTGTCTGTGTGTCTGTGTGTATATGTCTGTGTGTGTGTGTGTCTGTGTGTGTCTGTGTGTGTGTATATGTCTGTGTGTGTGTCTGTGTGTGGGTGTATGTGTGTGTATATGTCTGTGTCTGTGTGTCTGCGTGTGTCTGTCTATGTGTGTGTGTCTGTGTGTATGTATATGTCTGTGTGTGTGTGTATGTGTGTGTCTGTGTGTCTGTGTGTGTGTATATGTCTGTGTATGTGTCTGTGTGTGGGTGTATGTGTGTATATATGTCTGTGTCTGTGTGTCTGCGTGTGTCTGTCTGTGTGTGTGTGTCAGAGGTCAATCTTAACCAGCAGCCTGACCCCTCAGCGCCACTGTTACTTAACCCCTGATAATAAAATGAAAAGAGGGGGTCCAATGGGATTGAGTCATGCCCAGAAGTTCTTTTTAAGGGAGATTTATTTATTATGCATACAGTGTTTTTGCTGGGAATTGAACTCGGGACCTTTGGAAGAGCAGGCAATGCTCTTAAGCACTGAGCCGTCTCTTCGGCCCCCAAGTTCAGATGTTCTTGCTGGATCTACTAACCCATTCAAAAACAGACCAGGAAGCTGGGGAGCCACACAAACCCAGCCACCATTAAATCAGGCACTTGGAGCTGGAGCTGAGGCTCAGTTGGTAGAATGTTTGCTATCGTGTGCAAGGCCTTGGGTTCCACGCCTCACACTGCTTAAAGCAGGTGCAGTGGTGTACACGGGTAACCCACTCAGCTGTGGATGGACACAGGCTAGTTCCACGTCTCAGCTGGCGTGGAAAAACACTGCAGGGAGTCAGGCATGAAAGCTGAGGGCCAATTCACTAGCTTCGTCTGTGGGGGATTGTTACACAATAGAGGGACTGCTGGGTTGGGCTGTAATTCTGCACTTAATTTTTGAGGAATTAGCACACTGTATCCATAATGACTCCCCACCCACCAACTATGTAGGAGGCCTCGCTCTCCACAGGCTTGTCAGAGTCTGTTATGTTGTCTTTTTGACAATGGTCATTCTAGCTGGGGTGAGATGATGTTACAATGTGGTTTTGATTTTCATTTTCCTGATGGTTAAAAAAAAAAAAAAATCATGCAACACGATACTGTCTGGGTGAGGATGTTTTAGACAGCACAGGGAACAAAAGCCATACATGCGTGGGATTACATCAAACCATGAAGCTAAGAGCAGAGACGCCTCAGAGAAGGGGGAAATTCGTGCACCTGATGAGGAGTGAGCACCCAGCAAAAGAATAAACAACCCAAAACCATTCTAAACAGGCACTTCTCCAAAGACGACAGACTGATGGACAGGCCGGCAGACAGGCAGACGGGGTGGGGGAGGGATGATACTGAGTTGTTTGCTTTTTTTTTACTTTTGCTTTAGTGTCTGTTTTTGCTCATTTGACTAATAAATTATGACTATGACCATAATTACAGTCATAACTGTGTATATAACGGCAATTGCAAAAATGGTCTTCACTGACAGCCCAGTCAGACCTATTAACGGACCAGCGGTGATGGCGTCGACAGGTCCTCCTCCTGCCTGACCAACACTGTGCACCACAAGGACAGAGTCTTAAATAATGAGGTGGCATCTGCACGTGTGAAAGGGACACATTGCCCCTTCCTGCGCGCCTGAGTCTGCCGCCTTGTACACCTCACCCAAGTGTGCCTCTAACCCAGAGGTCTGTCGGCATCACCTCCACATTAGTTTCCGAACGTTGGGTTGAATAAAGCTAACCCCACTGTCCGCTGTCCGCCACACCCCTGCTACAAAGAGGAGGTGAGCAGAGTGGGCAACGTGAAAAACGCTTGTGAAAATTGGTGTTGAGTGTGGTACTCGCTGGGCAGTGGTGGCGCACACCTTTAATCCCAGCATTCCAATGGGGGGGGGCGGGAGAGACAGAGGCGTTCCTCAAGGACACTTCAAAATATCGAAACATCACACATGGATTGCACTTTTAATTTCTCCCCTCAAACAGAACCCAAATAATTTTAAATACAAGAAGGAGAATCTCCCTGTCCTACCTTAACAACTTGAGTACTTCTCAAGAGGTGGGCGTGTCCCCTAGTGCCCGCTGATATCCCCTAGGCCCTCCTCTTCCTCAGACCATCCCTTCAATTGAGAGAGTCTGTCCTGTGGTCCATAGTCTTCAAGCCTGTTGCTGAGGCTTTGATTTATTCGTATAAACTAGGATAGGAAACATTTAGGACACTCTGAGAGCAACATCTACTCACCGCAGCCTTTCCCTCATTTTGAGCATCTCGATAGTCAGGATTGAGCTGAAAAACAAAGCAAAGCTAGTGTTAAATAAATAAAGAGAGTCTGGGCCAGTGAGATGACTCAGTGGGAAAAGGTGCCTGCTGCAGCCCAGATGGCCTGAGTTCGATCCCTGCATACACCTGCACACTCACATGCACACGCACACACACTTACTTATATACACACATGCCCCCACACACACATATCCCCACATACATACCCAAGACCACACATACACATAACCACACACACACATGCCTCCATACACACACACAAATGCCCACATACACACATGCTCATACACACACATGACCACACACACATGCCCACACATACATGCCCACACACACACATGCTCATACACACACACACACACATATGCCCACACACACACATGCCCATAGACACACATGCTCATACACACACACACACACACACATGCCCACACACAGGTGATCATGCTTAAATACCAGGCGAGGGATGAGTTTTCATCTGTGGTGCTTTTATGGATGCTGACATGAACCTTGGTTTCATACTTGTGTTTGATTTTTATTGAAATACCCTTAACTCTTTATGATTATCTATGTTCATTATTCCACACATATGTGGAGTAATATACATATGGAACATACATATGTACATACATATATGCATATATATAACCCCTCTCTCAAGTTTCTTGTTAGTATTGTCACTACAGAGAAGGAAAAACACTGAGATAAACTCACAGCCACACGCATTCACCACACGCCTCAAATTCTACCTCCTTGTCCCTTCTCCAGTTAGAGTAACAGCTGTAGTTATCAAAGTCGCCAGCCAAGGATGTACAGAAAAAGAATATTGCTAAATGAGGGAGAAAAAGATGTCCTAGGGAAGTTCCTGGATATTTTAAGACTTCAAAGAAAAATACAGCATAGTGTTAAAAAAAAAAAAAACTGAATTATAAATCTGGCAGAAGGGAGAGAGAGAACTCTTGTAATTGATAGAACAATCTCTGAGGAGCAAAATTTGTGGCGAGTGACATTTCAGCCAAGAGTCCTGTCCCTGACCACTGACCCTGTGACCTAGGAAGTAAATGTCAGCCATGCTATGAAGCAGATGTGGCCAGAGCTAGGAGGCAGAAATGAGTGATTTGTGAATAATACAGGTCAGAGGCGGGAGGGAGGGGTCTGTGATGAGCTAATTTATTCAAGAACTGTTCACAGGGACTGAGGTAACCCTTGAAGGTGGGCTGAATTTTCAGCGGCAGGAAAAAATGGGACTTATTTGCAGAGTCTCTTCGTGACAGTTTTAAGAAATGTTTTGGAGAGTTCATCCATTTAACGTCACAATTTCCCACTTCACAGTGGAGGAACTTCACCCAGGCATGTTGTGTCGGGGTGAGAGCGTATGTCTGAGGGATGAAATACACAGTCTGAGTAAATGCGGCCTGCATCTGGCTCTCCTGCGTCCAGAGAGCAGAGAGGTGTCAAACAAAACAGAAGGGTTCCACACTGCAAAGGCTCTTATGTTGAAAGGAAGATCACCCTGGGTCCAAGAGGCTTTTAAACTAAAAGGAAGATCACTCGAGACAAAGGAGGCCTTTACATGGATGCTATAAAATCAATCTTATATGTTTCTCACTCTGCAAGACCACAGAGTAAGCCAAGGTCCCCGCTGAGTGTAGAAACTGAGACAGAAAGATAGGCTTGACTATCAAGTTTTAACCCTGTGCCCGGAAAAAAAATCATTGTGTTACGGTGAAATAACCCAAGCTTTAATAGTATTTGCTACATTTATGAGACAGTGAGACAGGCAAGATCACAGAGCCATGGGAATGGCGGGAGGAGGAGAACACAGATTACTGGAAATCTCAAAAGACGTGGTCTTCACGGACTGCTGAAGACAGTTAAACAGGACGCAACGTGGAGAGGAAGAACCACACCACTGCCTGTTGGCGCCAAGAGTCGAGCCTCAATGCCCCCTGCGGATGCCCTTAGCCTCCCATCCACATGAAACCACAGAAGCCAGGACACATGCTCACATTCTTGCTTTCTTTTTTTTTTAATTGGGGACGGGAACAGGGAGAAACACACCCAGGGGTTTGTGCACGTAAGCGCAGTTCTCGTAAAGACCAGAAGAGGGCACCAGATCCTCTGGCGACATGGGTGCTGAGACCCAACAGCAAGCAGGAGCAACAAACAGGTCCACAGTTTGGAAGCAAGCGCCTTAATGGGCTGAGCCACCTCCCCACTGAATTTCCCCGGCTGGTTTTCTTTTGCTTCCAATTTGGGTTTGGGTTTGTTTGCTTTGGTTGGTGTTTGTTTCTTTGTTTCAGAAAGTGTCTCCTGAAACTCTTGCTGGCCTGAGAATCACTATACAGTTGCTGGAGGGAGTGGGGGTGAGCTTCTGATCCTCCAGTGCCCCCCTCTAGGAGTGCGGGGACACGGGTGTGAGAAGCCAAGCCTGCCTCTTTGCTAGTATTAAGTTTTTAATTAACTGTACCCAGAGCATTGAAATTAGGAAGTAAGTATTTAGTGCCATCTGGTGGAAGCTTGGTGTATCTGCAAACAAATACGCTAGTCCTGTGTGTGTGTGTGTGTGTGTGTGTGTGTGTGTGTGTGTGTGTGTGTGTGTGTGTGTGTGTGTGATTCTTCAGGCACTGGTTGCCTGTTGTTATTGTTGACACCGTGCTTTTCACTGGCTTAGAGCTTTCCTAGTTGTCTAAGCTGACTGGCCAGAGCACCCCAAGGATCCTGTCTCCATCTGTGTTACAAGTACAAGCCACCTAGCTCTTTTTAGGCAGGTTCCAGAGGTCAAACTCGGGGCCTCATGCTTACCCAGGGAGCCCTCTCCCCAGCCCCAGGTGAGCCATGCCTTCTCTAAAGGCGATACCAAAGCCAGCAAGGCAGCATGCACCTGGGAGCTGGAGGCAGGACATCAGAAGCTTGAAGACTCTGAAACAGTGAGTTCCAGCCCAGACAGAATGAGACCCTGTCTTGCAAAACCAAAGGCAACATGGAATCTTTAGCAAATGAAATTATCTTACATTCTCTGATTTGTCTTGTTTTGGAAAGAATTAATTATCAAGTTATTGCTTTGGTGATTAACCTCCATAGTGAGAAAATGTAGGGAGAGGCAGGTTGGAAGCTGTGGTGCTGGAGACGGTTCTAAGGCCCACGGTGGCCTGTTCCTAAGATGACCCCTGCCATAACCGGCATAATAGATCTAAGTCACAACATCAGTGAGTGCACAGCTGTGCTATCCAAATGTGTGCCCCTCACTTTGGCCACCTAACTCCTGTATGTGTCATGAAAGGGACCTACTGAAAGAGAGAGAGAGAGAGAGAGAGCCTAGCGACATGCCTGTGTAACCATATGAAGTCCAAATGCCTTTATTACCTGGTCTGTAGTTAAATACAACCACAGTTTTATAGACCTGCATATTTCTTGAAAACTAACCCACACCATGTAAAACTGTGGGGGGGGGCGGGGGCCTTCTAAACCTTGGCTTACTCTGTGGTCTTGCAGAGCGAGACCCAATTACATCCCCTAGTGCTGTCCTAAGTCATAATGTTTTCTACATTCAGCAAATCCTTCACAAAGACCCTGTCCGTCAGTGGCTTGCAACTGTGCGCGCTGACTGCATAATTAACTGCTCTGAGCTTCCCTTGTTTTCTGCCCATAGGGTCATCACAATTCTCTAAATAACTTAATTTCCTTGCTAAATTCTGGTTAAGAGAGTTCTGTTGGACTTCACATTCACAAATAAAGCTACTTTTCGGCTGTTAGTTTTAAAGTTGCCATCTTTAAGCTTGCTGGTTTTAGCACGCCGTGCACCTAGATGCTGATAATTTAAACATCTGCTAAAGCCAGAGGTCTCAGATGTAGATGCTGGAAGCAATCAATACAGTAAGAGCCCATATACGGCTCGGTGATGAGCTGTGTAAGTTCCCCCGCAGACTGCAAGCACTTAGCAGCTAGCAGCCGAGCCTTAACATCTGTGCCTCCAACACCGCATCAGAGCAGCTCTTCCACACAGAGGCGCTCGATAAGTGACTGTTTCCTGTCAGGTTAATGTAGAGTAAGGTTCCTTGGCCTCCAGACGCTTTGTGTTTGGGACCAGATAATTCTGTCAGCGGAGGAGAAGAAGGCCCTCTCTATTAGCCCTCCTTGAGGTCTAGCCACAGATGCCAGCCCGTTCCCCAATTACATCGGTCAACCATCTCCAGATAGTGTCAACACCACTGACAAACTACATCAGGACAGTAGTCCAAAACCAGCATCCAGCCCGAACACAGTGTTACATTTTTTACCTAAGGTTTTTATTGCTTTTTTTTAACTGTCAGTAAAAGGTAACCTCTCAGAGACCGGATCCCCTTCTCTGTGCAAGGAAGCTACTGTATTTGCAGCAGCCATAGCTCCTATCCAGTCAGCCACATAGACTCTGGTGAGTGCAAATTCAGTGTGAGACCCTGCCCACACTGTAGAGTCGCTGCCCACGCTGTAGAGACATTATCCACACTGTAGAGTCACTGCCCACACTGTAGAGTCACTGCCCACACTGTAGAGACCCTGTCCACACTGTAGGAACCCTGTCCACACTGTAGAGACCCTGTCCACACTGTAGAGACCCTGTGCACACTGCAGAGACACAGTTCCCACACTGACAGACATACACACAATGCAGACAGATGAGCAAACACGTAAACAACCACACACTGAGATAGATCAATACCTGGTTACCAGGACATTGGTGCTCCTGGGGACCTGCTCTCTGCCCTCTGCCCTCTCTCACACAAGAAGGGAGGTCCTTTGAGTCTCCCAGACTTTTTGTGAGCATGTTCCTGTCTTCTTTATTCTAGCACAACCCTTAGAACATAGATGACCCTCTGGATATCACACAAGGGAACGCAGGTCCGGAGAGAGGCTAAGCGTCTGCTTAAAACCTGGCACACAGCAGGCTGCAGGCATGACAATTCTTTTCTTTGTACTATTATAGTCTCTTTGCCTAGCTGGCACTGTAAATAACGGTAAACCCA